CTCCTAAGTATATTTTTGCTGCGGTCAATAAATTTTTGCTTGCTTTTCTATACTTTGTCTCATTTTGTTTTGTTTTTTAATCCTCACCCGAGGATATTTTTCCATTGATTTTTAGAGAGTGGAAGAGAGAGGGAAAGACAGAGAGAAACATCCATGGGAGAGAAACACATGGATTGGTTGCCTCCTGCACTACCAGGCCGGGAGGGGCTGCAACTGAGGTCTGCGCCCTTGACCGGAATAGACCCCCGACCCTGGGGGGCGGGGCTCTATCCACTGAGCCAACCCCGCTAGGGCTCTACACTTTGTTTCTCGACGGAAACCTTTCCCTCAAGAAGAACTGAGGGCTCCTCTCCTCATCTGCCCGGTAACATCTTTTCGGTTTAAACCACATAACCCAGGAGTTCGGGGCCATTGTCTCTCTCAGCTGGCCGGCTCCTCACTGCTCTCTTGGAGTGTATCTTCAAGAAATCCCACTTGGCTTTACTTTCATTTTTGTTGACCTTAAAATCTTTTCTGCGTGGACGGGAAGGACGAGAAGAACCGAGGTCCCACCGGTAAGCCCAGTCGGTAGCACTCGGACGGGGTCAGCCCCCCACTAGCTCAGACTGCGGGCAGGTGCTTAGCCAGGTTGCCCCAGTGTCCTAACCTGTGAAACAGCGATAAGCAACAGCATCATCAAGTTCTATTTTCTGAGTGGATTTACACGCGCTGGCCCCCACCGCAACTCCTGGGACAAAGTTCTTAGCAAGGCCAAGCTCTTCCTCCCACCCCTGCACTCGGACGGCCAGGAGGCAATGCGGGAGGTGCCCTCGGTGGAGGCGCTGGCATGTAAACGTGAGCCACGCTGTCACGGGTTTCTGCCTTCTCCTCGCTACTTCTCTCCTAGGCGCCAACCCCGTGGGGGCTGACCAGGAGGCGAGGACGGCGATCCGCTCCCGCCCCAGCCCCGCGCCACGCCGTTCCCGCCCGGCACGCTCGGCGCCCGCACTCAGGCCCAGCTCCGGGTCCCCTGCCCCGGCCTCAGCTGACCCACGATCCAACCCCACGCCTCTCGCGGAGACCAGGGAAAGGCCGGGGGGGCCAAAGGCCGGAGGAGAAGGGGACCCTAGAGGTCGTGGGCCGGGAGCTTCCTAAGATCAGCCATCCTCCAGCTCCCTCTCCCCCAGGCCCCACAGGTCTGCTCACCCGCGGGCAGCGGCACCAGCCTCTCCGCAGCGTCGCCGCCGCCATATTGGAGGACCCCGTGTGACCTTCTCTCCGCGCGGCCTGATGGTGTCATCCGTCGCGTCAGCCGGGAACGCCTAGGGCCTGGGACAAGCGGCCCAGATAGCGACGTGGAGGCGAGAAAATGACTCTGATTGGCTAGAACGCCCAGGGAGGCGGGCCTTGGAGTTAGGTCTCCGATAGGGGCGAGGCCTAACAGGGGGCGGGGAATTCCTGAAGAGCGAGGCCTCTGTTAGGACAGAATTTCGGAAGAGCGGGGCCTGCCGCTGGGTGTGGTCCGGGGGCGGGAGCTCCTGGGAGGCACAGACCTGGGGTTGGGTAAGACTACGAAGGGGCGGAGCCTGAGGCTGGGATTCTGTCCGGCGCAGAGATTCCCCCTAAACTCGCTGGGTTCCAGCGGCCGGAAGGACACAGGGGCCGAACGACCTACCGCAAGAACAGATTCAGTTGGAATCTGACTGATTGGCCAGCGAACCAGCCAGATGGGGATTGACTGGCTCTCACTGATAATGACTGGTTGACTGACAGTGACGCCAGATGGGCAATTGAGTTGCTCCAAGAGCAAGAGCGAATGAGCCCACTTTTGTATAGCACTTTGGGAAGGCTCCTGGTGATTTTGGCCCAGAGCAGACGAGACCAGGTTGGTGTGGGTCACCCCTCCATCGATTCAGTGTGAACTGAGACACCTTGCCCTGAAGAAGCTCAGGCCAGCTGCTATTTCCCATTTAGAGAATGCCGCCACCAAGCTATTTGAGGCTGGGGAGAGAGAGGCAGGGAGGGTCTCTTGGGGAGTTAATGTATGCTGCGTTTTCCTATTTGAAGCTTTTTGCATAATTAAATAGTGATAAGGTCTATGGAACTTGAAAGAGTGCACATACACTCCCTGCTTCAGGGTTGGACTGACCTGTATTGGCTGTCCCTCAGGAGCCCCACCTAGGGGTGGGAGCAAGAGATATGTGTGCGCCACTCTGGCTTTGAAATGTTTTCATTCCAAGAGGAGCAAACTAGCTAAGAAGAAGGTTTGCGCTTTTAGCTGGATTTGGGACCATGGAGCTGGCCTAGGGCACACAAGGAGAATGTGTCAAACAGGCATATCCAAGGCCTAAAGGTAAAATGGAGGGAGAAGAGCCCTTATAGGAGACAGGGCAGGACTGCTCAACAGGTAGGAAGGGAACCTGGAGGGCCTTGGAGAAGGCAGATGGGGTAAGCAGCAGTGAATGCTGCAGAGAATGCAGGCAAAGCAGACCAGGCCAGAACTCTATCCATCATCCTTTAACTTTTACAATATGGAGGTCCTTGGTGAATTGAGCAAGAGGGTTTTGGTTAAATGGTGGCTGTGGAAACCAGAGTTCGGTGGGTTGAGTTTTTTGTTGTTGTTGTTTTTTACAGGGGTGTGCTGAAGCCAGTGTATACTGGCTGGTGAGAGCCAACTGTCACATTTTTAGAAATTTTGGCTCAGCTTGTGTGGCTCAGTGGTTGAGTATCAATCCAGGAACCAAGAGGTCACTGGTTTGATTCCTGGTCAGAGCACATGCCCCGCTTGTGGGCTTGATCCCCAGTGGGGGGTGTGCAGGAGACAGCCAATCGATGATGTTTCTCTCATCGATATTTCTATCTATCCCTCTCACTTCCTCTCTCTCTAAAAATCAATAAAGGAAAAAAAAATTGGAGCCAATTGCTAAACACAGCCATTATTTTTAAATTGAATATGTAAACTTATGATCAAATGGGTTATATTAAGACAAAGATAAGAAATATTAAAAACTCAACACTTCCTAATTATTTTACTACATGTTACTATCTGTGCTGCTGAGGTTATTTATATATATCACATCTGTATGCTGGAAACACTATATGATGTGTGCTGCTGCACTGCTTACCAATTCTGTGTCTAATGACACCACATTAGTAGTTTGAAATTGGCCATGGTGGGAGTATTTACACCATAGGAATTAACAGAGACTACAGATCAGGAACCTTTTGGTTTGTTTGCAGGGCCAGTTATTAAACATTTAATCAGCACATGGAGTGTGCATATACTCCTTTGAGGAATCTTTGCTCTGAGTAGAAGATTAAATGATGACAGCTTGAGAAACATATATGGAGGCATGAGAGTGGTTTGTTTTTCCCACCTTTTTATTTTGAAAAGTTTCTAAGCTACAAAAAAGTTGCAAGAATAATGTAATACACATTCATATGTCTTCACCTAGATTCATTTAACCACACGTGCTTTAGCATTCTCTATTATACATATATATATACAAATAGATATATTTATAGAAATATATACAGACAGTTCCTGACTTATGATGGTTCAACTTACAATTTTTCGACTTTATGATGGTGCAAAAGCGATATGCATACTTTGAAAAAAAATTTTTTTTACATACTTTGAATTTTGAATTTGATCTTGTCCCGGGCTAGTGATATTCTCCCGTGGTGCTGGGCAGTGGCAGTGAGAGGATCTTGCCCAACCAGAGGCTAACGTAAGTGTTCTGAGCATGGTCACAGTGGGCTGGGCTAAGTGGTGATGTTAGGTATGTTAGGTTATATTAAGTTCATTTTTGACTTATGATATTTTTAATTTATGATGGATTTATCAGAACATAACCCCATCGTAAATTGAGGAACATCTATACAAAAAATGTTTGTTTTGCTAAACCATCTGGAAGAGAGTTGTGGACATCATAATTCTTCCCCTCCAATATTTAAGCATGTGTCACCTAAGGGCATCCTCTACAAGACCACAATGCCATTATCACCCCAAGACAGTTATTATCATTAATTAAATAATTCACATTCAATCAGATAAAACTGTTATCCTTTCCCCAATTTTCTCTTTATAACTTTTTAAAACAAAATGTAGACTTCAATCAAGCTTTACTTGTTACATTTGGTTATCATCTCTCTTTCAGTTTACTTTAATCTAGAAAAGTCTCCTTTATTTTTATTGGGAGAATGGGTAGTCTTGCAAGACTGATCATTTTGAAGTCCTGTTGTCTTGTAAAACTATCCCACATTCTGAAGTTGACTGATTGGTATAGCATAATTAGTTTCAAATTTTGCCAAAAATGTTCCATAAGTGATGTTCAATAGGTATAAGTTTCAGATATGCAAGATGAATCAGTTCTAGGGCTCTGTTGTGCAACACAGTGCCCATAGTTAACGACACTGCATTGTACACTTAGATATGGTTAAGAGGGTAGATCTTCTGTTAGGTCTTCTTTACGCCTCCTTACCGCCCCCCGCAAAAAATCCAAGAAACAAAGGGATAGGAGGAAATTTTGGAGGTGATATGTTTATTACCTTGATTATGGCATATGTCCAAATTCATCAAATTGTATATGTTTAAATATATACATTAAATTGTATACAATAGTATACATTAAATATGCATACAAATGTATTAAATGCAGTTTTTGTATATCAATTATACCTCAATAAACCTCACATGGTGGAAGAGGCAAGGGATCTCTTTGGGGCACTTGGAGCACTTTTGTAAGTAGCATCCAGGCTTGGCCCGTGTGGCTCAATGGTTGAGTGTCGACTTATGAACCAGGAGGTCAGAGTTTGATTCCTGGTCAGGGCACATGCCCAGGTTGCGAGCTTGATCCCCAGTAGGGGGCATGCAGGAGGCAGCCCATCAATGATTCTCATCATTGATGTTTCGATCTCTTTCTCCTCCCTTCCTCTCTGAAATAAAAAAATGTATATATATATATTTCTTTTAAAAAGTATCCAGAAAACATAATCATTTAAAATAAGTATGTGTGTTCTCCTACTTTCTGTGTGTCAGGAATCTGGGTGCCATCCAGCTGGTCCTCTGGTTCATGGTGTCCTACAAGTTTGCAATCAAGGTGTCAAGTGAGGTTGTAATTTTCTCAAGGCCCAACTGGGGGAGGTTCTGTTCCAAGATCACTCACTTGACCATTACAGGATTCAGTTCCTTGCTGGTTGTTGCACGAAGGCCTCATTTTCTCACTGACTGTTAGCCAGTGGCCCTCCTCAGTCTTTGCCACACAGGCATCCAGCAGCTTCCAACATGGCAGCTGGCTTCCATTAGGGGTGCAAGAGGCGGCCAGCAAGACAGAGTCAGTCTTCTGTAACCTAATCTCAGATGTGACAACATATCACAATGGCCATATTTTGTTAGTTAAAATGGACTCACTAAGTGTGTGTGTGTGTGTGTGTGTGTGTGTGTGTGTGTGTGTATGTATATATATAATTGATTTCAGAGCAAAAGGCAGAGGAAGAGAGAGAGATAGAAACATCAATGATGAGAGAGAATCATTGATGGGCTGCCTCCTGCACACCCCACACTGGGGATCAAGCCCACAACCTGGGCATGTGCCCTGACCAGGAATTGAACCCTGACCTCCTGGTTCATAGGTCTACACTCAATTACTGAGCCATGCTAGCAGGGCTGGACTCACTAGGCCTTGACTACACTTAAGGATACAGGATCGGACAAGAGCATGAATATAGGAGTGGGGGCTGACCCCCACTCATACTCTTTTGTTGTTATTGTTGTTAATCCTCATCCAAGGATATTTTTCCATTGATTTTTAGAGAGAGTGGAAGAGAGGGGGAGAGACAGAAAAAGAAAAACATCAATGTGAGAGGGACACATCAACTAGTTGCTCCCCCCCACGGGCCCAGACCAGGGTCC